CTTAGCTCAACACTGTTGAGGCATAAACAACAGAGCCTATTGTTGTAGCCAGCCAATCACAATGGATTTATTTAGAGCAGCTAAAAGTCAACAGTCGGCTTAGTTGCACTCGAGGGTTACCTGTCACATAAGGGCCTCTACGCACCTCTAGGATTTTTTTAGGGATACTCCTCATCTTCCGTAGCATGGCGCGTAGCGTAGACTTTTTGTCTAGTACGCACATGTCATGGAAATTTTGAAATATTATAACTCTTGGAAAGGCGATTTCCAGCGTTTTGAGGTTCTTTTTGATAACGAAGCCTTGGTTGGAGAAAGCAAGCAAAGACAATTACATTAAAAAATTGTAATATTTCCTTGCCATTTCCTTGCCATTAGTGCGCACGTGCGTATATATACGTAAGGACGCTACGCGCCTGCGTTAGAGTCAATTTCSTATGAGTGGGAAACGTACGGTAGAAACTACCGTATGGTTACCGCACAGTTACCGGACCTGGCCTGCACAATTTTTGTGAAGCAATGAGCAGGGGCGGATTTAGGATTTTTGAAAAGAGGGGGCCGGATGTGTCTTGTGTCCAATTGAGCGCCGGGAAATTTTGAAATTGAGACCGTCAGAGATGCGATTTCCAGCATTTTCATCGGTAAAGGGGGGGCCGCGGCCCCCTCGGCCCCCCTAAATCCGCCCCTGATGAGACACTAGAATTTGGTTACAGTACGATTACGGTTACAGTGCAGTACCGTCCGTTTCCCACTCATACGAAATTGACTCTAACGCAATGGGCCTTCTTATTTTCTTAGTTCCCCATACATTTCCCGGTGATCGGCTCGTGACGTGCGCGAAAGATACAAAGAAATAATGTATGGGAAACTTAAAATGAGTTTACTAACTCCTATTAATTTTTGAGAGCGGCCTTAGCGGCCTTACCTAGTGAACTAATCCGGTAATGGGTCATGATGGTCATGTTGTCCGTTTTACATGTCGTCGTGACGTCTTGTAGTCGTTTACCATATTTATTTGTTTGTTTATTAATTATCTACTCGTYTTATTATGTTACCATTGCCTGTCATTGTTCTCTAGGCCAGCCACCGCTGGCCGCCCCATTGCCGGATTAGTTCACTAGTGGCAATTAATTCATTTAAAGATTAAAGGTTAAAGAGACAGAAGGTTTCCATTTAGACTCAAGCTTGTACTTTGCTGGTTGAAAAATCATTATAAGRACATTTATTACGGCAAGCAAAGTAATCAATAAAAAGGCTTTGAAACTAGGGCCAGTAACCATGTGACCAGTGACATTATTCTGGTTTGCTCAGTGTTAGCTTCAACACCAARCAAAATTATATTCTTTTGTCTCTTGATAGCTGAGAATACACATGGAATTTGTAAAGAAAGGCACTGACAAATTGATTTGAAATCTCACACTTTAATTTGTGCTCACAATAATGAATATTTTGTACACAACTTGAGACTAACACAGAGCATTAGAGAATTCGAAGCCGGAATATTATCAATAAATTCATTTTTCTTGTCAGTTTTAACATCCTTTAATCCAAATATATTATTTTCTAATGTAAATACCAATTTAAAGTGSAGTCCTAGAGGATAGAGAGGTATCTTCATTCTTATTTCAGAGATTTAGGTTATGCCACAGTATTGGATAGCGGGGAGAGGAGGGGGTAATTGGTGCAAGTGCGTCCTCCAACCTCCAACACACAACATCTGGTTCCATTCTGGTTTACACAATGTGACTTGTTATATGACTCCAGGCTAGCATTTGTCTGGACACTAGGATCAAAATCCTACAATGCAATCAAGTTTCATTCAACAAGTCACATCATGTAAATTGGACTTCAGTCTCTTGATTKTATTTTTCAAGTGTTTTTATAATTTCACCTGACTTTAAACCCTCTTGCTCCCTCCCTCCTTCCCCCACTAGCTCCCCCCAGCACCCATCCACCCGACCCCTTCTTAAAATCATGTCAATAAAGTCAAATATCTGGGACTGTTTCAATTTTTAAATGAATGCATGCAGTCCATGCACAGTGCGCATATTTAATCATAATGCATTGTTTTCATTCTCAAACATCTTCTGCACTACAGGAGATGCAAATGGAAAACGTTTTTCTTTTTCGTCTTTGCTTAAATACTTGAAGCCCTGTATTTTGATTAGACAGTTTGGAGATTTACAAACGCAATCAAACTCTTCTACCAYAGTATATTCTATCAAATTATAATCAATAGTTATCGGTTCATCTTTGAGAATATCGCGACATGACATCAAATACCAGCATAACCTTTGCCCACGACGTGAAAGCTCTTGGTTGATTKTGTTTTCTCTTGCGTGGTAAACTAACTCGGCGTTTGGAGAACASGAGTGRTTTGCGTACCTAGTTCCACCTATACAATCTACATGAATGTCAAGCTCAACTTGGATTGTGTGCCGACTCTTTTCTCGAGTGACGTSTCCACGAAAATCTCCCAGAAAAGTTCCTTTGGGAATGTCGATCTTTGCAGTCAAGCTCTTGAAATCGCTTTGAACTTGAATGACCTCGAYACAGTCTGCATCCATTGCTGTCATGTAAAAATCACAATATTCATTTATACATGCAAGGGATGTGTTATTAATTCTTCGAATTTTTGCGATGAAGTAAGTGTATATAGACTATACCTTTGTAGTTCAAGTCTAAATATTTTCTATTCACCCGCCTTCACACCGCCCACAACAAATAACCGCGAATGGACTGGCACTAATTTTAAATTTCTTTAATAGGCTACCTGTGTATTTAGAACCATTGAATTTTTTTTTGGAATTCAGGTCCGCGCTTGTAATTTTTTGGCAAATTTACAAAAGCTTTAGTGGAGATTTTCAAAATTTTGCCTTGCAGGAACTTTTTCCGGCCATTTGGGCTGTGCACGGATTTTTTTTTTAAATCTTGCCAAAAAAAATCTAATGGATTGCCCTAAGAACTGTATACCAAGGTCTACCAAATAAGTATGAACATGTTGGATTGCAAGAAGGTTGATATCAACAAAGCTATCTCAGTGCAGGCAGCCTTTTGTTATCGATATACTATTTTGGTTCCCATGATCCTTTATCTGTCATGACATAACCTGGAACCCAATTCAACTTTTGATAGAGTGATCAAACTTAAACTGTGCAACTGTACAAACTAAATAGTTCTATTTAGTTGCATTTAGTACACAAATACAAATGAAGCAGTCAATACCGTCTTGCTTTAGTTCCACTTTTAGTACAATTAGTACTCAGATTTTGTACAGTTACATGGTTTAAGTWCGATCACTCTAGGATGTACAGTAYATAAAGTAGAACTAATAATGAATTTTAAAAGGTAATTTACTTTATTTACATYTACCTATATATATATAAACCCATAAATTATCATTCTTCTTCTTTCAATTACCTATAGGATATAATATTTCTTTCATATAAACAATGTATAGCAATAACATGGTTAAATTAGTAATAGTAACATATACAGTGCTATACATGTATAACAAATATTGGTTCAAAATGACATATTTGCYGAGTCAGGGGGTGCCCAGTGCACCAATACACCCCCACCCCCTGAATCCCCCTGTCAATAGTAGTAAGTAATAATAAAATTTCTGTTTTAATTACAACAAAACAAGTCTACTTGCAAAAAGGAGAGTGTATACTGTATACATAAAAAAGTTCAAATCATTATAATTATTATCTTTATGTAACARGTAACAAACATGGGGAATTTTGCAAAAAATAACTTGCTATTATACAGTTTGAAGTTCACATTTTTTCTTAAGACCTGTCACACATGATTTTCTGTTATTATCATATCATTKGAGCATTTTGATATTCGAAAATATTGATTTATGAACCCAAACTCATCAGGAGTTCCCCTAACAAATTTCTGATTAATTGAATTGGCTGCCAAAATCATTCTGTATGTAAGCTCCTAAATATTAAACTATACTGTTGATGAACAATGTTTATTGAAATATATATTTATAATATAAAGCACTTCCATTTGTACAATGGATATAATATTTTCATCTAACTGTTTAGCAAATACTTATTACCTATTGATGCAAACAATAATACTGTTTCACTTCAAGATTAGGTTTATCAGTATAGTTATTATTTCGGTTAAATTATACAGCAGTTTCAATTGAATTGTGACTATCAGATAGCCTAAAGTCTAAGTTAGAGAATTCATGTTGCTGTTGAGATGTCCCTTCTGTCTTTGCACTTTCAGGGGTACTACCACTACTTCCAGCACTGCTGGACTTCCTGGACGAAAAGAGCTTACGTCGCTCATGTGGACTCCTGTTCGACCGGCTACCTAACGTGAAAGGACTCTTAATCTTAACTTTATGGAGCATAGAAAAAGGCTTGCGACGAGCTTTCGGTGAATCAGGCCTAATAGGACTGATGTCATCATTCACTTTTTGCCCAGAGTGTACTGGCTGCTCTGTGTAAGGTGGAGGTTCTCTGTGTACTGTTTCTTGAGATGTATATGGAGGACACTTGGCATCCCAGGGTTCTTTGTGGATCTTGTGTACTTCTAAGAAGCTGGAGGAGTAACGTCTTGCACCAGAGAAAGATGGAGTTGGGATTGTTGCTGCTGCTTCATCAAGTCCACTTGGMGAGCTTATATCAGGTCTTGATCCCTGTGTTGAGCTACCTGAAGAAGATATGCTTTCCTTTCTGGTGCAAATTTTTGGACATTCTGKYGWTTTGTCKTCTGTAGTTGGAGAAGAAACYTTTTCCTTTAGAGCACTGGTAAAATTGGTGTCATTCATTCTCAAGACGCTGTATGCTTCAAGAGCTTTCATGATCTTTGTGTGACCTGTCAAACATAACAAATCTATGTGAGAGTACATATATAACAAACAACCTCTCATAAAAGATAATTTTTACCAATGTGCAACTGACTAGTAAAATCAATAGGCAATGAGGATTAGCCAACCATTGCACACCTGACATTTAATACAAAATTTCTAGAAATGGTGAATAACATTAAAAAGATATTACTTTCATCCATGAAAAAGATTCTTCTCCAAATTGGTTATATTTTTTAGCTAATATATGTTAGATATTTCTTTAGTTTACCAGCTTCTGATGCCACTTGCATTGGTGTTCGTCCAAATGYGTCCGTATGGTTCATGTTAGCTCCATTTTCCAACAAGATCTGGGCAACTTCATCATGCCCTTCTTGGCAAGCAATACTTAAAGCAGTTGCACCTTCAAAGGAAACCTTGTCAACTTCAGCACCATCATCAATCAAAAGTTGTATAACAGAGTTTTGGCCTTGCCATGCAGCAGACATTAAAGCTGTACGCCCACAACTGTCAGGAAGATTCACATCAGCTTTAAACTTCAGGAGAAGCTCAACAAGGTTGTAGTTGCCCTGCCATGCTGCACCTTGAAGTGGTGTCCTTCCATCATCATCTAGACTATCAACTGTTGCTCYATGCTTTAATAAATAGCTGACCATCTCTTCGTTGCCTTCAAGTGTCACTGAAAATAAAGCTGTTCTTCCAACATCATCTACCCCATTTATATCTGCTCCATATTTGATCAACGTATCAACACAGTCAAAATGGTCCTCCATCGCAGCATAGTACAGAGCTGTGCGCCCATTTTTAGTRGTTTGACTGACAGGGACTTTAAAGTCTAACAGCACACTGACTACTTTGGCATGCCCCTCTTGTGCGGCTATAATTAAAGCTGTTTTACTGTCACTATCCCTGTAGTTTGCATCAACACCTGCTTCCAGCAGAACCTTGACAACTGTGGCATGACCTGAAAMGAATTTAAATCACTCCTTTTAAGGCTAATGCTATACTTATTTCATTGTAATAATATTGTTATTGTAAACCTTGCTCAAAAAGCCATTATCTCACTTTAATTACTGATCTATTAATATAACATACAGCTGTCATTTGAAATACTGTTGCTCTTAAAAAATAAAATTAGGGTAAAGATTACAGAAGCTGAAACAAAGTGATTGAATTGCATAATAATCAACTCAAATGACATTCATAAAAATGACAGCAGCAATACAAATTGTTTATTCACCTTGAAATGAAGCCACCATGAGTGGTGTCCAGCCACTGTTGTCTGGTCTAAACATAGAGTCTTTGGGAGCTCTCCAATTAGGCATGTGCACTGGCATTGCTATTAAAACAAAATGCTATGTTAAATGCTTTCAACACTTTCTAACCTAATGGTAAGGTATACAGATTTCTGCCATTATATGATGGTAGACATTTCAGATGAAAGAACAAATTGTTGCTATTTAAAAAAGGTTGTCAGGGATACATAGCAGTAAACATGCCAGCAAAATATACGTTAAGGTTAGGTATCCAATTTTTGGTGGTCAATACTCAAAACAGCTCATTCTCTATTACATGTAATATTATTTTGTGCTTCTGGAAGCCACATTACTGAAAAGGTATCTAAAATATTACTGTACCTTTAGTATTTTTCTCCAGCAACAACTTGACAATACCAACTTGACCACTTGCTGCKGCAGCAAATAATGGCGTCCGCCCATTTCTATCCCAGTGACTAATATCAGCGTTAGAGTTTAGCAACARYTTGACWACATTGTAATGRCCTTCAAGACAAGCCACACATAGWGGAGTTAATCCATCAAAATCWGGCCTGTCTACATCAGCTTTGTTATTAAGTAATAGTCTGACAACTTCTGTGTGCTCWGGACTTGATGATATGCATAACACTGCAACTGACAATGCTGTTCTGCCATCCTTATCAGCAATGTTAACATCAGCTCCTTGCTCTAGCAGATACCTAACYACAGATTTGTGTCCCATATATGCAGCCGCAATCAATGCAGATCTGCCATCTTTGTCTTTAAGGTTTGGATCTGCACCATGTTGAATAAGCTGCTGTACGACGTCGGTATGAYCTCCCCAAGCTGCACCACGCAATGCAGTCCGTTTATCATCATCAGCTTGGTCAACAACAGCRCCATTCTTTAACAAGACGGAAACAACATCAGAATGTCCRCCTGAAGCTGCAGCTCTTAGAGGTGTACACCCATCACTAGCAACTTGATTGACATTCCCTCCACAGTTKACAAGTAAGTACACCACTTCGGCATGACCTTGCTTGGCTGCTAACATGATTGATGACTCACCAGCAGGGTCAGAGAAATTGACATTAGCCCCATGCTGCAGCAAAATGCGAACAACATCAGCATTGCCGTTGAATGCAGCGTTGCAAAGTTGTGTTCTACCAGCGCTATCAACSCGGTCAACATGGACTTCTTTTTCAAGGAAGACCTTAATAGACTCCTCTGTTTCTTTACCGTAGTTGACAGCCATGTCGGCTTGCTCTGAATCCACATCAGCACCAGCATCTAACAGTATCTGCAAAGCTTCCTGCCTAGGAAGCTCTGAAGCAGAAAGAGCCTCGGACAGTGGTGCACCACTCCATAACAGCCACAGGGCAAAATGCTCTTGATTCATATTTTCTTTGAAAGGTGCACGACTTAGATGGAATGCAAACTGATGCAGGTCRACATCTTGTTTGCTACTGGCTAATAAGGTACATCGRAGCGCCAACATCGCGTGTCCGTCGCTAGGAGAACACAAGTACTTTGGAGTACAGTACTTAACATCGATTAGCCATTCCGCAAACGAATGATGAAATATGCATTTCGTATTATCAACATCAACAATWATGTAACTCAWCGAGTGCAAGATTTGATAGAATTGTTCCATTGTCAGTGTTCGATCTCTCGTCCAAATCGCTTGATATAGTTCTGATTCAGTTAACGGCTTCTGTGAAGCTAAAATTACATTTAATACGAGTCGGATTTGATTGAATTGCTCATCCGTGTAGAGTCGATTRCACAGCCATAGATACAACCCATTCAAAGTCCCGGGGATGTCAACAATTTCATCGATTGAAAATAGCTCATCTTCAACTCCTTCGAGTACTTTCTCCAAGTACAAAAAGCATCCGTTGCTTTTTATGTGGAGTTGATTAAATTTCTCGGCCGTCTCTTTAGTAAGGTACTTACGGAGCTTTTTATCGTCATCGAGTCGATTGAGAATATAACCTTGAATGTCTCTCACGACATGAGCTTTGCGTAGATCATCAAGRGAGAGTTTACGAAAGCCAGTGAACATCTTAATAACGGTCTTAGACTGCTTTCTTGCACTTACAACGAGAAACAACCACGAAGGTAGCAAATCATGATGTGTGGCCACTAGCTCAGCGATAGTCCGACTTCCAGAATAAACGCCGGAATCAAAAGAATGTAGATATGATTCGTCGATGGAGTCGACAAGGACAACATATACCTCGTCTGGAGGTGTAATAGAGTTCAACGGCAGCAAAATTCCCTCTCTGAAGGCAATATCGGGACTTTTAACACAAAAGTCCAACCTCAAAGCTTCTTGTATTTTCGGGTCATTGAACTTGTCTCTGTAGGAATCCAACGGCTGAGCTTTCGACAGTTGTTCGGCAAAGCTTCGAATGAATTCTGAGACCGACACAGAGCTGTACTTGTGGGCTTCGCAAAAATGGTGGGCAATGACTTTCTTTGATAAATTTTTTTGTGGGCCGTCTTGAACGGTAGGAGAAATGAGTTCCTTTAAAATAGTGGTTTTCCCTGTTCCAGGGCCTCCAACTATAAACGCTCCTTTAGTCTTCGTGTCGTCCTGCTGTTTTCGTCTTTCGAGGCAAGTCTCAACCTTCTCGTAGACCCATTCTCGGCAGTAAAAGCTCCTTTGTGTTTTATTTCTTGTCGTCATCTTTTCAAATCCTCTTAATCTAAATCTCGAAGTCCCATGATGTAGTTACAAGCACAAGCAATGAACAGCAAGTTCACTACACGAGGCAGCCCCTAGGGATAAACAGAGTCAACAGATCATCAGAGAAATATGACACTTAACTTTGACAAGTTGTCACTATTGTTCCGCTTGAGTTGAAGTAGCGTTCCTGAGCTGTTTGCTATTCTTCCTTGATTCTACCAAATTCTTGAGTTAATTTCSACCCGGGTTTGTTTATAAAGAAGAGCTTAATCTTTTAACGGCTTAAGTCGTACCAAAGCACTTCTTTACATAATTTTTCGGCATTTTTTATTTATACAGGATTGACCATTCAATTTCCTTGGGCAAAACCACAATTTTCTCATCCTTTTGCTGACTGCTCGTCTAGCAGACTTCATGTCTTCACAGAAAACAAAAGGGCTCGGTGGGTGAGCCATCAAGTCTTTCAAACAGATGTAAACAGAGATGATATTTTCGGTGTAAACTTGCCTTTTGTCTTCGAAGCACCAACCTGTTACCTCCGTTTCCGGCGAATGACACGAGAAAGAAGCTTACGTAACGAAATTKGAATGACGTAAAAACTCAAAACAAAATGTAAAACGTGAATTCATAGTTTGAAAATAGTTTCTGTTTAGTAAATGTTGTTTGAGTCACTCCTCCATATTAATATGCAATTTCAAGTACTCTCAAGTACCCAACTGAAAAAATATTTGCTGAAAATCTGATTGAACAATTATTAGGAGAGCAAAGTTCAACATTTTCTTGACTGCCTCTTTTACTATCGCACCTTCTAATTTTATCCTCGCATTCCTTTTTAAGGAGTTGGACATTTCCTTTGATAATATCATCGTGACTAGGCATTGTTGTAGGCGTGTRCAGTGATTACAGAGGATAATCATCATCATAATCAGCTGGTTCTTGTCAAATCTACACTTAAAGAAATTTAATATACGGCGCGGTCAGGCCTTCGTCATCGCTGAATCCAACCAAGCATACATAACAAAAAAAAAAAAAATTCTCGACACTTACAAGCTAATTGCAAGAAAGACAAATAGATTCAGTTGTTAATAGTGTCGGACAATGCGGATTATAATAACAGAATTCATTTAATCGGTCAGTGCTCGATGGTGCGTGATTACAGCCTTCGATATACTGGGCCACATGCTAGGGTACCCTACAGGGACCAAGCCACGCACTCACATCAACCATAACATCAACTGATTATAGACAAACGCAGGCGGCTCATCTGATCCTGCGCTTTTATAAAATCTACAAGTATCATCATTCTTTGCGATTCTTCAATCAGTTGGCWACTGAAAATAGCAAAAGGGAAAAACTTGACAGTCGACTTCGACCAGTGAATGTCAGATCATGTGCCTGCTCTTGCATGTGCTACAGAAACATTCCTCAATGCAGTTTGCACAGTCGGATCTACCGCAAGTACGCTGTCAGTTATAAGTGCCATGTTTACGATTTAAAAAAAAAAAGATGTTTGTACTCTGATCCCAGAGGTTTGCCGTTCTTTTTACACTCCAGTTTTTCTGGTGTCTTCCATAAGTGCATAGGGTGCGAGTTTATGGTTGAAACTTTGCYCTTCCGGTTTTAATGTTAGAAATTTATTAAAAATCTCCTTATCCGTCACACCTGCTAAACTATTCACACATTTAGTCATGGGCGTGACAGTTATTTCCAGTCAACTTCCTCAAGAACAAGATGCTCGAGAGATAATTATTTACATGTTTTATCAGCATTTTAGCCACCGCAATCGGATCGAATTTACGGAAGTTTAGTCCATGCGAGATCGTTATCCGCTTATTATCAGATATAGGACATGCAGTTGGTGTAGACTTATGCGACTTACGATGCAATTTGGAAGTTCCGGTATGTTCATAGTGTTGTGGTTCTTTGGGTATTTATAAAAAATATACTTTTCTTCGCTAAGCTAGCAAGGAAAGGTAAGGTGATATTTTGGGAAGGAGTTTACTATTGAGCTATTTTTCGTCAGCGTTTGGCACATGGGGTTTTGCATACTTTGCAGTATTCTCAACCCACACCCAGTACCTCAAAGCATGATGGGAGTAGTAATCCTTACACTTTTGTTTCTGGGTTTGAAAACCAGGCATGTTTTATCAGAATGTAGAAACACTAGTCATTTGCCGCAATAAAAATACTCACTATTTTGTCSGATACGARGTATTAACATATTATTATAGCTGTTTTCAGTTTTATTTATTTTTTAAGTAAAAATATTTTAATTCATCATTATGATAATTGCTATGTTAGTGGATTCATTTATGACACCATCCAACTGTGATGACACCGAGAACGCTTACTTAAATATACATAACTTACATGAAATCATAAACTATGATGAAATCAATTCCCCATAATTTTAATTATTATTATTATTCTTATAGGTTTCTGGAATACCTAGTCGGAATTCAAATAGTCGAATAAATCTGTCCGCTTACGCAACAATATTAAAGATGCTGGTTCTACATAGCGTTCTATATAAACTCGAGTTATTGTTAAGGCTGATTTATGCGGTACGATTTGTCGCGCGCGACTTGTAKTATACGATTTTCCTACTACAAGTCGTAGGATTTTAAGCAGTGGTTCAAAGTCCTACTACAAGTCGTAGGTTGCGTACGACTGTTGTAGACAAGTCGTAGGGGYATTTACAYTGCRCGATTCAAGTCGTATACTACAAATCGCACGAGACAATCTTGCCGTGTAAATCAGCCTTTACGAAGTTTTTTTCAGCCAGAAACTACACAGTGCATTGTGAGTTGGTAGTGCGACCAGGCCTGCGAGAGCTATACCAAAACTATCGGCCATACTTGCCACACCCATACTGAATTCTCTATGGGCTGGTAAGACCTGAAAAGAAGAAAATCCATTTTTTTCAACATATTTAACTGTAAATTTATGGTGTTATTACAAGGTGCAAGCACGTCTAGCAGCTGTGACGCCAAGGCGTTGCACATACTAACAACGCCTTGGCAAAGTGCACCAAACTTCCAGCATTTSTTTACGCAACCTCTGSCAGACACCTAAACGGCGCTCAACAAACGCTMTCTGGGCAATTATCCAGGAAATTGTTTCTTAAAAGCCGAGAAATGCGAAATACAAAACCACTCAAATTGTCTCGCATCTTTGTTTCGGTTTCTGCTCTTTATTTACGGCACTTGTAAATTGAATTCAGTACATTTTGATGGCCCAGAATTTAACAAATAGATCTCATTTTTCCGTGCGTGTGTATCTATTAGAGTACACACGCACGGAAAAATGAGATCTATCTGTTTTATACAACAAACAATTAGTTTTGACGTAATCCGTGTATCTATACTTTGATAACACACGAAAGCCAACCAATCAAAACGTCTGATTTTACTGAAAAGTTGTATAAACATGAATAGACGTAACATCGTTACCTCTTTAGAGATTCTGTAGAATGAATTAACATAAACAGCTCCGCCAAGCAGACCCTCAAACATSACAATGGCAAATACGATCCATATCGATGGCATGAAGTGGAATAGTGCTTCAAATAATAGCACAATCAGGTTTACGTACTGAAGAAGAAAAATATTCAAATAAATAAAAGTTGAATCCAGGGCATTATGCTGCGATAGTTGTCTGCAGAAAATGGATGTTTCGAAAAGCAAGTAGTTGCCTGAGGAACGGGAGAGCCTACGTAGCACTCAGTTGATGTAATATATTCATAAAGATATAATACAAAACACATAATACAATAGAACGAGAAACAATGGAATGCGTGCTACGTAGGTCTCCCCCCTGAGGAACATCCAGTTTCCAAGGGTAACTGTCTCAGAAAAATGCCCGATATGTCAACTACTCTATTGTTTTTAGTATTGAACAGTAAAATTTTCTGAAGCGGCGGGCTCTATGCACTACGCGTCGCCAATGAGATAGGAGGAGAATTATAATGGGAAATAAACACACTTTGACTAAAGTAGGTGCATGTGAATCCACATACAACACTGATCTATTATTCTTCACTGCCTTATCATATATGCAACCCGTCTGCATGGTAACTTGAAGCGGTGGAATACTGAACTACTCAAGCCCTAATAGKGAATTCTGCAAACGCAGTTTGAGGTACTGAGTACCCCCACCTCTTCAACAAGCCTCAATGAAAAAAGTATGAAAATTAAGTCTAAAACGCGGCCGTATTTAATGCGGGTTTACCACTTCGATTGTCTGAATCAACTCATTACCTGTAATATAGCCAAAAGACAAGTATTGTTGATAGGTGCTAYGTTGACTGAAGACCTTGATATCAATACTGCCAACTGATAGTCAACTTGGTACCTTGAATAGCGAGAATAGAATAATCATATTAGATCTTCCGAATACGACAGAAAACCCATGAACARAAAGAACCGTGTCTTCAGAGGAGGCTACAACAGGGGTGCTCATCAGTAGAAAACGAACATGTTGTGTTCAGTGTAGTAAGTGTTTATCTTGTGCATATTGTCCATGATTAAAGGTTAATGTGTGGTAATGTTAATGTACGGAATCTGGAAAAATGTTCACAACTTTGTCATTTATGTTACCTTGGACATCAGCACACAACTTGCAGTTTGAAATGACATTATTTTACATTATCGCAGTTGTAATCATAGTTGTAATCGCAGCTATTATTTTAGTTATTTAATCTAAGAAGAGGAAGAAAGAGAAAAAAGAAAGAATTAAGAAAGACAGGATTTGAGGATGATAGAAAGGAAACAGAAAGAAAGGATTTTTATAAGAAAAGAAGTATTTGCAAGGTTTACCATCTGTACTGTTCTGCTGGTGTTATCCATATTCCTTTGAAGAAAATGAGTTCATGCTACAATAAAGAACATTGAAATCCAATAACTTAGAACCTTTTAAAGATCTGTGATATAACAAGAACCAGCAGATTTAAATCTTTATTTATAGGCATAGAATCTCTTTGTTTCATGGTGGTTAAACTTAGCCTAATTTTAGATGGACCTAGGGTCCAACTAAAATGAATCCGCATGAAGTCATTTCTATCAGACCCACGCCTGTATGARATTCRCTAACCCTTTGACGTATCATGCAAATAMAGTTTGTRCAAGAGATGACAAATGCAACACTTACCAGCCCTTGGTTGATGAAATATTCAGCAAAGTAAACTAATGCTAAAGGAACCATATATTTTAACAAAGACTAAAAAACAACAAAATAATATTAATGTTACAGGCCTTAATTTCTTCATGTATATATAGGAATCTATTGTATTCTAGTTACATTTTATTATCCTTTAGGGGTATTGTTTACATTCTAATCAATTGAATTTATAACCTTTAGTTTCTATAACATAATCTTTGCTCCAGTAAACAAACTAAAACCCATTGTTACCTTTACAACAGCTAATTTTTCCACTAAAGTGAAACTTTCAGTTGTTTGTTCTAAAACAGATAGACATATCAGGTCATTTCGACTGGAGTTCCAATTCAAGTGGGGCATCACATTAAATAGTAGTACACATGTTGACCTACCAGCATGGTCTTCTCTACTACTTTCACTTATGATGGCAGTATGCTCCTGGTGGTAATCTGAGTAATCTGGACTATATAAGGATTTCCAACTATTTTGAAGGTGGGTTGGATACTCAAGGATATACCAAAAGCTGAAAGAGACACAATAAAATGATTATAATTCAATTATTACTTATGCAATATCCCTGATTATACAGTCAACTTTGCCTTACTACCCCACTATTATGGTCAACTTGATATTACAGATGCAAAATATTGAATCCCCAGCAAAAAATACAAAGAAATGACTGAAAGTAACTGCAGTTATTACTAACTCTCGCTAATTCGGATAATTACATTCCCGAGGGTGTACATAATAGTACGATTATTGTGTGAGACTTGTAGTTTTCAACCAAAATGAGTTCCAATCTTACCATGTAAAGGCCCCTATAACCTGCCTACAATAGTTGTACGTGATCTACAACTTGTAGTAGGATTTTGAACAACAGCTCAATTTTATGTATAAAGCTTTATAATAATTCTAATTAGTTTGTATATAATTGCTGCATACAGGAAGTAGTAAAGAATCATACCTGACACCCATTAGAAAAGGAACTATATTCATCACTAAGACTGTTATTTTAGGCGTCAACCCTGCTGATATTAACCCTGCATATGATAGAGCACCAAACAAACCAGCAGCTCCTGTGACAGAAGTATGGTTGTAAGATAACGGTGTTGAAATGATTACATCAGTCAGTCAGCAAAACAGGAAGAAATAGAGTTGCCTGTCAGCCAATCAGTCTGAGCATCAATCAATCAAGTAGCATAAAGTCAACCAACCAGTCAATCTACAAGACACTCAGTCAGTCAATTAGTCAGTGACTCTGCACAACAGTTGATCAATCGAATCAAATCAATCAATCAATCAAATCAAGCAAGCAATCAATCAATCAATCAATCAGTCAGTCAATCAATCAATCAATCAATCAGTCAATCAATCAATCAATCAATCAATCAGTCAATCAATCAATCAATCAAATCAATCAATCACCAATCAATCAGTCAGTCAGTAAATCAATCAATCAATCAATCAGTAAATCAATCAATCAATCAATCAGTCAGTAAATCGATTGGTCAGTACATCAATCAATCTAATCAATCATATCAATCAATCAACCCTTCACGTTCAACCTGAGTGTAAAACAAACAGTTTGGAAGACAGCAACTTGTAGATATGAAGTTGAATGATATAGAAAAAAAGGTTCCTGGAATAACCATTACTAATCTTACCTGTCCCAGATGACCAGGTAGACACAACATTTCTGTAACAATAACACAATCATTCAATAAAATTCTTGGACAACCCCTTTGAGAAATGCATGCAATACAAATATAATAATATGTAATGTCTGTTCCACCTTGATTTTCAGAGAATACATAATATTATTTAATATGTTGATATGTAATTCTATAAGTTCACAAAAAAAAACTTAGACATTTCTGCATACAAATGCATGCTAAAAAGCATGTACTACATACTCAGTTATTTCTGCACTTACTTGTCAAAATGAGCAGAAAAACTTAGAATTGTAATTTCTCCAAAACCACCACTAATACTTGCACAAACAACACCTAGGGTAGAAGATTGTTCATTATCATTGTTAAGCAATTTAAGGTGATCATTGCCGTTACGATATTTTACAAACAATGGTAGATGAAATGCAGAGTAATGTCATTATTTGCTTAATTATTGTCATCTACGTAGGTCACTTTGCCGTTTAAATCACACAGCTAGCAAGACAATAATTGCTGTCTAAGTAATTAAGTCAAACAAACACTTTTCTAAGTCAAACTGTTAGCCAGGCACTTATTGACGTSCAAGTCAACCAGTAAACCATACACTTTACCGTTTAAAGTAAGTCAATCAGCTGCCCAGACAAGTCGTCTCAGTAAGTCAGTTAGGTAGACATTTTAACATCTAAGTCAATCAGTACACCAGACAATATTGCCATCAAAAAGACTTTTGTAAACTTTGCCGTCTGGTCAATCAGCTGACCAGACAATTGTATTTGCTTTACTTACCTAGTAGACTAACCCAAAGGACATTAGAAAAAGCAACTAAGAAGAAACTTGCAAAAGCAAACAAAATACAGCTTCCAACTCGTAAACTGTTAAAAAATAACAGAAAGGAAGTTAACCCTTTGACTACGGGGACTTTTGAGAAAAATAAAGTTTTTTTGAGGTTAAGTAATGCCCCGAGTAAGAACTAGGGAAGCAAACGGCABAGGAATGCAAGAAGGTGCTAATTGCGCATTGTATAATCCATCCATCCCATTGGTTAAAACATGAAAATCTGCTATAATTTCTATAAGTTAGCGAATTTTCTAATATTTTATTTAATGTCTGTTTTCGCTTTCATGAAAGCTAATATTAAGGCAATAGCCGACTTGCGAATTACGCATCAATAGTCACATACAAAGGAATCAAGACGAGGCGCCATGCTTTTTTGTGAAAAATCTATTGTCTTTAGCACGGCGCCTCGTCTTGATTCCTTTGTATGTGAGTATTGATGCGTAATTCGCAAGTCGGCTATTCTACGTGGGGAACATAGCAAATTAGAAGCATCTTTTGGCTATTGTTTTGAGTGCGGATGATTGGATAAGAGCTTTTAATACAAAAAGAAACTTTGTTCAAAAATAGAGTTTATCCACATTTTATTTCAAAAATGTGTTACCCACAGATGGATACATAATCAGTGTGAAAACCAAGACATTCGTAAATGGGGAACTTGCTATGCCGCAGAACAATAGAGAGTTCCCTAGTTCTTTAGCGCATTGTTACTTAAAAGATTATGTCCTCTCCACATGGTGTTTGCCATTTCTATGGATTTGGGAAACTTTTGCTGATTTTTAATACCAAAGGCTCATTATTCTTGCACTATTCACTATTGCACTATYTTGCATTATTCAATGCTTCGTTCAACAGTTTGCTTGTTTTGGCGGGAAGCGAGACTCCAAGAAATACTGATTTTTGCTGGTTTTTTAGTCACTACTCTACGGACATCATTAAGTTTGTGGGTAGCGAAGGAGCTTACTTTCTGAAAGAATCCAACGTGGTGTGTAACTTTTTAGATGATTTTGTTTGAATAGGCGATTCGGTGAACTTGGACCTTCGCTTAATAAAGAGTTTCGGGCGCCGTAGGAGTCAAAGTGTTAATTACATTTCAGATTTACAATACCATGAGCTTGGATGGATGCCTATGCTTTATAATGGGTTTCAAACTCATGAATTATTCATATGATATCCATCCATTCTGTGATTGTAAATTTTGCAACTTGACTTTTCAGACATAGTAACTTACTGATAGTTGAGTCTGTTCATGTAGAAAGGTGCTGTTAGTTTTATCAAAAGCGTTGGAAGTATATCAGCTAATAGAATTGTCTGTAAAGAAAGCAATGAAAACAAGATGAGAAATTAATCCTAGCACAAAGTTGATGGGTATGCATGCAGCACTTGAAAACAAGGTAGAATCTGTTTAACCATTTTGAAGCAAGCTTAGAGACAACAAAATCTGCTCCTTTATTAGTATAATTTCAAGACCTACTAACTAGTGTTCTTATAATCAACTTACCCCAGTTGATAAAGGGTTGCACCCAAGACTGTTATTATTTCCATTAGTTGCATTACCAGAACTATTAGAGTACAAGCTATATGCTATACTTTCTGTGTCATTCTAGAAAGTGAATAAAAAAATGCAATTCTCTGGTGTGTCATTTATTTGAGAGGAGTGTCTATTGTAGGGAGGGAGGGGAGGGTGGGGGGAAGGAGGGGTGGTATCTAAACAATAACAATATGGCAATTTTCACAAGAATGCAAGAGCAATTTACTGACATCCAAACAAGCGCAATAAAAAATAATTATCAAAATTATCAAAAGGGAAATAATCAAGAGTTATCAATATCTTGTTCAAATCATATCCTGGCTGCACTATACTTACCTTTCCTTCCTTGTTTTCTGTTTTGCTTTGCCCTAGAATATCATGGGCAGCACTTAACATCACCACATATGCAAAGTTATTACAAAGTCCAAGCAACCTTTTGATCAAAATAACATAAAAATCTTTTTTTTTGACTTTACAAATTGCAATAGTCTTGGTACTGAAGATTTTCTTTAAATGGATTTACATACCAGAAACCAAACAAATTTCTCTTGTTTGCATTTTTGGATACAATTCTTTCCCCTAAAAAATGATAGACAATGTTATGAAATAAAAAAATATCATCTCCATTCCATTTTGCAAAGTGTTGTTTTCCCATTTTATTTGATTAATTCATTTGGTTAATGCACTTATTATTTGCTTTCCCGTGGGTCGACCCCCAGGACACCTCCAGGGACCCAAGGTCAGTGTTTTTTTTGCAAGAGGCTATAAGGTTCGTTTACACTTGCAATTTTCGCAGAGCGATTCTCGCAGAGATCAACGCGCGACCATCGCTTGAGTTTTGAACATGCCTGAAAATTGGCTGAAACTTCGCGGCAATTTTCCATTGTCGAAACAATCGCAGGGCTTTTCACATGTAAGATTTGAGTTGCGCCATAGCAAAGTGGCGATTATCGCCCTGCAAAGGACCTTTRAGATAAGTAGAAAATGAGCAGAAAAAATGGACAAATTTGTGTGCTACTATATTGCCAATAAAAGTTCAGATTTGAAATTTTTACATTTATCATTTTTAAAAATCTTACTTTATCATTCATCGAAATAATTTACGTCTGATAACAAATGGTTTGGCAAGAATTTACCCCCTGGGGAAGGGCTATTGTTATCAATGTTTTGCCCTCCCCCAAGGGATTTTGCTAATTTTGGTTCAATTCTCCAGGGKTGTCCSGGTGGTCTACCCAYGGGAAAGCAAATGATAAGTGCATAATTCATCTTTTCTCATTTCGTTTCATTAATTTCAGTAAGCTCATGTATTAGAAAAGGAAATTAGAAATATTGATTGATAGTGACTATTAAAATGAGCTACATTTGCTAATTATCATGGTTATGATGACCATAATTTTGAATACAAGAAATTGTAGAGCAAAACGAGAAACAAGTCATCTGAATAACTGCTAAATGAGCTGAACTGTAATAGGCGATTGCATTATGGCGTCATTTACTACAACTAACAGAACATTTCTAAGCAAAATTTAGAGTTTTTGAAGTGCCGTATGTCTTTGAATTTTAAATAGATTATTTTCAAACTTGGCAAATTTGATGATTTCATTACTCTCTTTCCACTTATKTCAATGATTTACCATAATGATATAATGTAAAATTTCGAATTATCCGCGAAATGGTGATTTATTATATATAATAGTGCCAATTGTTTTATTAATCTCCAAGTGGATTAAAAATCTGAATAACAATGAAAATGCGCAAAGCTCTCTAGTAGTTGTAGTAAAGTTACGTCATAATGCAAACGGCCCATTATTGACAATGATCATGAGGTTTAGCCCTCTCAATCTGCTGCAATACTGTACTCAAAATACATATTATGGACTGTGCAACAGTGACATTATTGCTCTTTTTTTGCAGTACTAATTTTTTAAACCTTTAATTGAAATAAACTCAATGCTATGCATTTTTCAAATAATTCTCGATGAATCAAATGGACTAGAATCTTTATCAACCTTTATTATTATTTCGTAATCTCGTACATGAAGTTTAGGGCGAAATAGCTAACTTTTACACAGGTAGCCCAAGCTAGGCATTTGTATACTTTTTAGAAATACTTAAAATATATTAAAAATAAACATCTCTACTTGATTATTGTGTTTTCTTTACAGTTCTGTGAAGTTTCAGGCCATTTCCTTCAATTTTAATCGATTTATGACTGTTGTTCTCCAGAGGACGCTGTGACTTTTTGAAGTGATTTAGCTTTTAACTTTAAGTGAATCGTCTCGAACATCAACGAGCTCTCTTTGACATTTGATTTTCTTTTCAATTTGGCGAGTAATAGCATTTTTATGCTTAAGAAACATCAAAACAAGTATCATATATTCAAAATTCAGAAAAGCTCAAATACAAGACAAGAGGTTAACAAACCGTTTCGAACATCAAACCTGAATATTTGAATATGAGCTTTAAGTGCTTC